GTCAGGACCAGTCATTAGGTTGGAGACACCCAAAGGCAGGCTCCCTTTTGGGGGAATTCAGTTACAGTGGTCTGGCTACACAGAGGTGGGAAGTTTTGTCCGAAGTGAAAAGATTTCAGTAGGCAGGCTTTCATCTGTCACTCGGTTGCTTAAATCTAGAATTATATTTGGCCTAATTGCTTGGATAAAATGGGATTTTCCTTCTCCAGCAACTCAGGGTTATTAATAGAATGCCCCCCCCCATTTACCATTGCCTCTTTAATGGGATTTTTCGGCTAGGATTGGGTCATACAGCACCGTAAGCCTGCTGGATGGCCATATTGTTGTGAAAAGCCCTCTGGCATTGGAGAGCTTTCTCTGTGGCATTTAGATAAATGATTTCCTTCCTTTGGTATGAGAATTTACTCCTTTAAGATGTTTGAGGGACGGATATTACAATATTTAGAGTCCTAGTATGAGGTAACAAAACGGCAAATCTTTTGTGGGGGTGACTTTTAAGTTCTAAAAAGTAATACTTAGTGTTGTTGGGATCAGTCTGTTAATCCTCTCATCCCTAAATAAGAAACCCAGCCTGTGCAAAGCCATCTTCGTTGTGTAAGATGAGTGAGTGAGAAGAAATCCCATCTTTCTTGCTGTGGAACAGACTGCTCTGGCAATAAGCCCAGTCATTCGGGAGTTCTCCATGATCTGTTACTTAAGTCCAACTCATAATTATGACTGAGTTTAGGCAGGAGGCCAAAATGAAGAGACCGACTAAATTGATTTTTGGTTTTTCCATACTGTCCCTTCTTGCTATTTCCAGTTTTAATGTAAGTGTTAACTCCGAGGTCAGAGCTAGACAGACTGCTACCCCCACCCCCAGCACTCCACCAATCCAAAGCTAAGCTTCCTAAAGTCTTGATTGTGGTTTCCAGTGTCATGAGATGCCACCAGTATTCTGAAGGGGACAACAGGTGTGCTGACCTCCAGAATGCCCATGGGAGTGGGCAAGGCATCTTCAGGTGCTGCTTACATTTTAGGTCCACCAGGCTGAAGACAGTCCTCGATGATGTCTTATTAATCTTTTGTCCCTGGCATCCAGCACAGGATCTGCTAAGTGCCCAGGAAATGCCTTCTGAGTAGAGTGTTTGGGTCGAGACGCCCATGCTTTCTTACATTTTTTCTTGCATTCTACAATCATCACTTCTCAAAGACCCTCATGTTCACTTATAATTTTTAAAAGTATTGTTCATGTACTTTTAAAAATTATCTGGAATTTATTTTTATGTGTAATATAACAAATAGAATTTTGTCCCAATCTCAAATATCATTTGCTAACATAGCTGAATTCTCTCTCTCTTTTTTTTTTTTTCGGTCTTTTGAAACAGGGTCTCCCTGTAGCCCCAGCTGGCCTAGAACTTATTATGTAGATCAGGCTGGCCTTGAACTCACAGCTCACCGAAATCCACCTGCCTCTGCCTCCTGAGTGCTGGGATTACAGGTGCGTGTCAGCATGCACCATGCCCAGCAGTTCTCATTTGTTTTATTTTGTCCTTCTGTTTGTCCAGTCCTGTGCTAAACACATGTAAACGCGTTTAGACAAAATACACTGTTGATGGCAGTTTTAGAGTATCATTTATTATTAAATAAGGATTTCCCTTCTAACTTCCAGCTCAATAATTCTTTTAAAGTATTGATATGATAGTTTTTATATAATCTTCCAAATAAATTTAAATGTAAACAAGTAACAGAAGCAAAGGTATTTGGAATTTTGGCGTATATGTGTATCTCTATAATCTGCTTTTTATAGATATTATTTTTGGAAGACTGGTTTTTCTATAATGCCATGCTTCCCAATAGGAATCTAGTAATCTTAAAAATATTCTGCTCTCATTTCACATTCAGTAGCAAAGTCCTCTTAATTTTCTTCATCTTTTTTAAAAAATATTTTATTATTTTTATTTTATGTATATGAGTGTATTGTCTGTATGTATGCAAGTGCACCCGTGTCGTGCAATGCCGTGGAGGTCAGAAGAGGGCTTCGGATTCCCCTGGAACTGGAGTTAAGGACGGTTCGTAGCTGCCATGTGGGTGCTGGGAATCGAACCTCTGCAAGAGCAGTCAGTGTTGTTAACTGCTGAGCCATCTCTCCAGCCCCAATTTTCATCTTTTACATTGCTTGCTACATTATTTCTTGACATTTTATAATTTTATTATAAAAAGGAATCTTTATTCTACCATATTGCCTAATGCAACTTTATATTCTTACATTCTTATTAGATGTTCATTTATCCATCCAATCCCTCAGCCTTTACTGAGCTGAGCACCTGTTGCATGCACGGCACTTTTCTATGGAAAGGGATACAGTATGGAACAATAATGTATGCTAGGGAATGCACTTTGCTATAAACACCCTTCCTTTGGCCCCTGATTAAATGAATGAAATTTTTTCCCCCTCACATGATGGCAAGCCCAAATGGGGCAGTCCAGGGCTATTTTGGAGCCTCTACAATGTCAGGATGAATTCAGTAGTCTCTACTGAGTACCTGTCATTAGTCTGCATCCAGTGCATCAAGAGTAAGAACACAAGCAGGATGGTGGAACCTGACCGTCACCTTTTCCACTGTTCCTAGAACCCTGCTCAACGGCTTCTGTCAAACTCAACTGGCCAGAACTGTACCCCATGGCCATCTTCATTAGCAGTGCTCCCTTCAGTTAGCATCTCTTAGTAAGGGAGAAGGGAAAAGTAAATCCTACTCTTAGAGGGATTCAGAGTTTTACAGTGGAATGTCATATTCTGACTTGCTCCTTGGAACACTTTTCTATTTCACATCCATTCATTTCATTGGCGATCTCATTCAGTCTCATGCCTATAACTGAGATGGGGATTACCAGATTTACATTTCTGGTCCAGTGCTGTCCCTTGGACTTTAAATAACTAAGTGCCTGTGATGATTAGTTGTAATTGCCAACTTGAACCAACCTAGAATCACCTGGGAAGAGTCTCTATAAGGGACTGTCTAGATCCTGTTGGCTGTGGACATATCTGTGAGAGATTATCTTAATTATGCTAATTGATGTGGGAGGACTTGCCCACAGTGGTCAGTACTGTTCCTGGGCTTGGAGTCCTGGACTGCAGGAGTGGAGAAGGCAGGCTGAACACTAGCACGCCTGCATTTATATTCTCTTCTTCAGATTGTGGATATAACGTGACCAGTTCTCTCAAACTCCCAGCACTGTTACTTTCCTGCTATGCTATACTGGACTGAAACCTAGAATTGTGAGCCAAATAAACCCTTTCCTCCTTTAAGTTGCTTTTGTCAGAGTATTTTGTCACAGCAACTGGAAAAGAAAATGAACTCCTTTACTCCAACTAACTGTTCCTCTCACAGCTTTCCCCATCTCAGTAGACTCCACACATCCTGTTGCTTATGCCAGAAACCTTGTATCCTAGACTTTTGTCTGACTCTCATCAAGAAATCCCATTTGGCTTACCCACTTCTAACTATACCCAGAATCTTGCTATGTCATCCAGTTTCTGCCACTAATATTTTTAAAGATTTAAAAACTTTAATTTATGTATATGCTTGTGTGAATGAGTGTCATGTGTGTGCAGGTGCCTGCAGAGACCACAAGAAGGCACTGGATCCCTTGGAGCTGGGGTAACTGAGATGTGGGTGCTGAGAACTGAACTTGGGTCCTCTAGAAGTGCAGTAAGTGCCCCCAACTGCTGAACTATCTCTCCAGTCCCTAATACTCTCTAGTTACCATATTTTATACCTGCATTTCTTCATCAGCTCCCAAGACACAGAGATAACACTGAAAATTCTCAAGTTCTTGACTCTTCTCTAATGATGCTATTCTCATCTTGTTTCTAATTCTGTCATCACCAAACCCACAAACTCTCCAGTCGTGGAAGGTTGTGCACCCAGGGACACAGTGGGAGAAAGAGAGTTGCAGAGACAGTTCCATTGGCACAGTGTGAGGACACAGGCAGCTCCATCTTCCCGGTTTAAGTGACAGTTCTGGGAGATAAGCCATTCTAATAGATAGCATGGGGAATTAGTGTTCTCTGACTTTGGGTCCACTCTTAAAAATTTAAGATTTTGCCGGGCGCGGTGGCGCACGCCTGTAGTCCCAGCACTTGGGAGGCAGAGGCAGGAGGATCTCTGGGAGTTCAAGGCCAGCCTGGTCGACATAGTGAGTTCCAGGACAGCTGGGGCTACAAGGGAACCCTGTCTCAAAAAGACCAAAAAAAAAAAAATTTAAGATTCAGTCTTTTTTGTTCAGGTGATTATGATGTTGGTGTAATAAATACTGTAAAGATCAGTAAAAAACAGAAAAAGCAATTCAGGAATGAAAGTGGTAGGCAAATAGGACTTTAAAAAGATCGTGTATACCAGTTCAAAGGCTGTATATTTGAGAATAGAAAACCACCAGTCAAAACTGTCATGAAATAGACAGTCACATTCACTACATCAAGACTACTATGGGGTGATTATGTGATCCAAAATGTAGCATCCTGAGATTAAAGAGGCATTATTTTAAAGTATGCCAGGATGATGGGTGCTTACTAGCAATCTCAAAGACAAACAGGATTGCCTTTAGTTTTCATCTTCTGCACATTAATAGGAGAAAATTCGGTCCCCATTTACACAGATAACCTCACTACGCAAGTCAACAGCAGCAGTAGTCAGTGTGGGCTTTGCTGCTGTCAGTTTGACCTTGAACTGTCATGCTCACACCATCTCCACTGAACAAGGGCCACTTCCTCTACTGTTTTCATTCTTGGTTCTTCTCTTGTGATTTATATTTAATCTTTAGAAGGCCATTTTTATTGCAATTTGAAGTTTAATACTGATGGTTAACAAAGGATATACCCTTCTGGGATAAGCTAAGTCAAAATCATTCTTGAAATTTCTAGAGACTTCCCTCTTTCCCAAAGGCACAGTTCCACAAGCCACACCTTCCTTAATCCAGTGCAACTGCCACCATTTGCTCAATGAACAAAGCAAACCAAGTCACCAGTCACAGCAGTTTATTATAGGGTCAGTACATAGATCTTTCAGAGGAACACTCTGGACCATTCACTTGATGGTCACAAACACATGATAATCTGTTTTACTGGTCTATTTTTGGTTTGTCTGGCAAGGGAAAATAAAGATTACAAAACTAAGAATTATGTCCAAAAGTCCCAATTTAAAAAAACAAAATCAATAAAATGGCAAGATTAAATACTGCTAGCCCTAATGTGTCAGCAAACATTGTACATTTCAAAAAAAAAAAAAAAAAGACAACTCGTCAAAGTCCAAGAAGACGGGGGCTGGCAAGTAGAAGTGAAGCCACTTATTATAAAAAAAGCAGTCAATGAAGAATTAGAAAAAACTTTAAAAATTGGTCAGAAAACCGTTACTATATAATGCTACACCAGAATGTCTATTGGTTGCTTTCATAAGGGGAAATCAGGGCAGTGTGAGGAAAACACTTGCTTCTTTAACCTTTGACTTGTTTTGGTCAATGTTGGTGTTTGGGGGAGGGGCACTCACAACACCCGAACAAGGTCCAGAGAAATCCGAGATCGGGGGATGTCAATGTTGAGGACTTGGACCTCCACTTTTTCTCCAGGGCCCAGGCCAAGGCTCCTTCTCTTCTTTGTTTTAGAAAGCTTTGCTTCTGTTATGTTCCTTATGGGAATCAGTCCTGACTTCCCCACTCCTATATCTACAAAAACCCCAAACAGAGTGGCATTCTCCACTTTTCCTGTGAGAACGGTTCCAACCTGCAGGTCTTCTAGACATACTATGCTTCTCTTGAAATCAGGTTTATCAAAATCTGTGAGGAAAGAGGAAAAAGGTCATTGTAACTCAGAAGTCCTTGTACCTCAGAGGACCAGTATTCACTGTGTGTTGACTGAAATATATGCCCAGATCAATACTGAACTTTGAGGGAAATAAACAGAAGGAGCCAAAGACAAAGGCCTGTTGAGAGAAAACACATCCTAGGAGTTCACATAGAACAGTTTAAGAACATTTACTCACTTTATTTTCTCTAAACTCCATCTCACTAATGTGAACATTAGCGCTACCTTATTTTTTCCCTGTAAAGGATGAGGAGTGCACATCTTTGCTCAATGAATACAAACGCTGAGAGAGCAAGTTGGTATCTTTTGGTCAACATGGATGAAATTCAAATGTTCTCTTTCCTTACTACTTCCCCCAAGTCTAAAATCCAGGAATTGATGGTTTCCATTTCAAAAACATTTATCTAATCAAATTGTATAGGTTCTTGATTATCCACAGCTCAGAAACTGAGGCCAGCTAGAGCCTAACCCTTCTGCCCTTCCAGTTCAGTTCATTGACTGTTAATTAATTCCTATCGTAAACCTTGTGTCCAGGCACTCTGCTGGATGCTGGATACACCGAGACAAAGATGCCTAGATTTCCGATCCCAGGCTCTGTAGAGCCCTCTTTCCTGGATCATTCCAGTTTCTCTGTTCACTGACACTAGCCTCTGTAAAGTCAACACGAAGCAGGCCAAGGAATCATTATGGTTCCAGTTAGAACAAAACAACAACAAAGTTTTTATGAGACAGAATGAGAAAACGAACAGTTTAAAAGGGGGTTGTGAATTATCTGTGGCCTGCGTTCACCCAGGCTTGGTTGGCCCCCTTTCCTAGGATTACTGAGTGTTGACTCTAATAACAAAGAACACATTCTACTCTTGGATCTCCTTTTACTAAGACCTCATTTTCCCCTCTTCCCAGCCCAGTCCATTTCCTTTTCCTCCACAGCTGTTGGCTTTATCCTGATTACTTGTTAGAGCTATCCTTTACATTTGTATTAACAACTGGTCACCTCTTCTTCCCCTCCCCCAGTCCAACCATCCTAAGACCAGGATCTTTTCAAAATTAAGCTTTCTTCCTATAAAACAAAACAAAAACCTTCTGTAAACTCTAATCTCATTTTCCTCATTAAAAGTATACTAAAATTGGAATTGATTCTGTAGAATTTCACCTGATGCTGAAGCACTGAATTCCAAAAGCAAGAAACCTCCTGTAATGTGATAGCACACCAAGCCGAGGCTGTGTCAAAACGAAGTGAAACTAAGTCGCTGATCAGGTCCAGAGGCAGGATGGTCTCTGAGGCCCCATAAGGCAGTTTTCATGCTTGGAAACCCTCTTTCCCTCTCTTTTCTTGCAGAAGTCCAGCTGCTGCAGATTCCCCAAGGGGTTCTGATCAGCTGCTTAGTTTAATTTTGCATGAAAAATCAGAGTCAGAAAGTAGTTAACATGTTCCCAAAGACAGTCTGGGCCACTGAGAAATCAGAAAATCCTCCATGTACTATGCAAACATTAACACTTTGATAACCAAGCAGCACAGCCAGGCTGTTGTCACCAGGCTGCTCCTAATTATGGAAAGTAGCTTGCAAGGGAACATGAATAGAAATGGAATTAATTATGTATGTCACTGAAAAACCAGAAGCCGGGATGAGGAAAAGAATGAGGCAGGAAGAAAGGAAATACTTTGAGAAAATGGAGATGTAACAAATACCATAATGTTGAAAAACCCAAAATACTGTCTACTCCCTCATAAGTACAACTTGCCTGCCTCCCCCTTGAGAAGGCATTCAGTGGTAAAATGACAGTTTTCAAATGTCTTAAAGATTGTGACTTAACTAAGGCAAAGGTTAGTTGTAAAGTTTGCTTTAAAAAGATTTGAAATTTTACCCATCACACTGGAAACCCCAGGTCCTCCTGTGTTTCTGCTTAACGAAAGGCACCTTAGGTAAGGACTTCTACTTAGGTTGGCTAATTGAGTGTTCACTTTTGTTGAGTCTAAGGTGTAACTGAGCAATCAACACCATGATAGGAAAACAAAGATGGACAAGGAAAGCCAGTATAGGCCACTTGCAGCTAAAGCACCTTTGTCAACTGTCCAGTGCATGGGCACCGGCATACCACCCAATTTCCACGACTGAGAAATACTGATCTGTTTAGTGTCTCTGCAAGTTACATCCATAGAATTCACACAAAAACCAACCAGTCTTCTCAGTGGAGATGGTTCTGTCTGCTGAAATAGCCAGTTTACATAAAGGACAATTGGGAGGCTTTCATTTTTCACAGGTTTTATTCGCTCTTAATTTTTTTTAAGCATGCAGAAAAGCTGAGGGATTAGAACAAGGAACTTGTTGAGTGTTTCAAAATTTCCTAAACCTTTTCTGGAGGAAGCATGTTGAACTGCCTCGACACAGCCTAACCCTGAATGAAAAGTGTCAACTTCTATAAATATATCATCAAAAGTGTCATGAGACAAGTGTGCAGATGCATTTAAATCTCAGGGGTTCCTGTTCAAACTTCCTTAGGAAGCATGTCATTTGATACTGTCATTCTTTTTCACTGGGTCAGTGCTCTCAACAACTATGGCTATTACACTTCCTTCACCCTCTACCTGTGCAGAAAGCTGAGCACACTCTAAATTAGAAAGAAAACCAACAGAGAGATATCATCTTATTTGCTCAATGTGCTCATTGACACAGAATCCAGAAACCTGGAAGGCTGTAATTTAGAAAGAAGATTCACTTTTTGGCTTGTGAATTGAAAGCTTTACCTTGACCTTCTGCCTCCTCAGACACAAAAAGAGTTTACAAGAGGCTCGGAAAAGTGTGCCTTGGTGCATATAGTAATATAATACACACTGACATGCTTAGTCCGGGGGAAAAGGTAAATAAACAGTGGGCAAGGAACCAGAAGACCCGGCTTCTAGCTTTGGTTCTAGATGCAAACTCTAATGACTGAAGGACAAATAGCAAGTCTGTTTCCTCATGGACAGAGTGACAGAATCTATGAGGATCAAAGGTAATGATGTAAGCCACGTGAAGGCGCTGATTGCAACTCAAGTTCAACTCACCTGTTCGAAAGTCGAAGCTTTCGGGCTGGCTCAGACCGTCTATGATGATCTGTAAGGTGTGTGCTGTTGTTTGCAATTTTTCTGAAGTTTTCTCTATTCCTTCCTTTCTGAGGTATGAATTTATTTTTTGTTGCATTTCGGGCTTTCCAATCTCACTCAGTGTCCCTCCGATGAATGATAAAAACCTTCAGTGGAAAGAAAAGCCCAATATTTATCAGTAATACCACATTTTAAATTTCCTTCCCACAGGCCCTCCTCAAATTCTCTTGTCTCAGATCCACACATTGCCACACATCAAGTCTTCACTGAGAATCTACTAATGTATCCCATGTTGCAGTAAGTGATTGATCTGAGCGGGGCAATTGGCTGTGATGAGCAGGTAGATTTAGGTTCATGTCCTGTTTTTCTAATGCAACACCAGTTGACACCAGGAACATTTACAGTATACTGTTTAGGATAGTTTAGTGTCGCAGACATGTTTTCGAAATAAGGATATCTATGTTTACCTCATATTTCCTACAATTTCAGTTAGGAAAACATTTGAATTTAGATTAACACAATTTATGATGATACCAAAATGCAACAGAACACACATCAAACCCTGCTAAGCTTTTAGATGGATCACTTGCCTCTGTGCCACATCATTGTTGTCTATGTACATTTATGTCTGAGGCTCTGTGGTGATGTGTAACTTGTCAGCATATGGCCAGTCTAATGATGCAGATGCCATCAGGCCACACAGAAATGAAATTACATAAAAAACACGGAGTATTCAGAACCAAAAGAAACATACTGGAGGGGAGCTGGGTGGTGTCAATCAGTAGTAGCATGAGTGTGTATGTGTTTAGCATGCCTAGAGCCCTGGGTTCCACTGCCTAGCAACAGAAAACACAACCCAAGGGAAGTGCGTATGTGAATGAAAAAGTAACTTTCTCACAAAAGGAGGCAAGTAAAACCTCACAGATGAAATCACAGTTACGGGATCTTTACATACTTTGCATATCACATGGCTGCAACATATGCAAAACAAACAGCTGCCCTTTTGCTTTCTCTGTGTGCACTAGTTCCCTTGCTTGCATAGATGCTGCTCAGTGACTTAGTTTTGCAGTTCAGACATAAGCTAAAGGAAAATCATAACATCACAAAACAAAAAAAATAATGGGTTAAGATGCAGTTCCCTTCAATTACACTTGAGTATTGGGCTTACTTTCTTGACATTCCTTGGGCTGGGTATTTTTCTACATCATTAAGTTCCATTTCCTATGATTAATGGTACTTTAAAAATGTCAACACAGTAATCAGACAGATAGTGATACTAATGCCCTCAAATCCTTTCCTCTAAGGATGTCTCTTGAATACAGGAAGAAAAAGAAAACTGCTGGAGGTTTGTCTACAGTCAGGATCGGGATATATCCCACTTGGCAGGAGACTGTATCAGTGTGTGCTTCCAAGTCCTTGTATTGTATTCATCCCGAATAAACCTCTTAAGTAATACACTGGTACTGATAATCTTCTATCTGCTGGAGAGAGCTCTCATTTAACTAGGGAGCCTCTTTGGGTTCAAATGCACAACCTTTCTGGTTAAGAAAAAAGATTCTCTAGCATCTAATAAAATCTTTTGAGCATATATATTTTGGTTAATGGTCCAACAAAGAAGACAAGGAGCAATGCTTAGTATCCATTGGAAATGTGCTTCCATCCAAACTGGACACCAGGGAGATTCACCTTCTCAGTCTGTGTCCATGGCTTCCCCAGCAGGAGGAGAGGCAGCCTGTACATGTTGGTGCTGGCAGATGGGTAGCAGCACATGGGGCTAGTGACAGGGCCCAGCTGCTGAAGTGCTGACTGACAGGGCAGATGATACATAACAGTCTCTGCCTATAGCCATGTTCCTTACACAACTCTCTAAACAGTTCATGCTCTGCTGAGCGGGCTTTCCTGGTACTCACTGACTTGACTTTATTGGTATGTAACTGGCCACTAAGTATACACCTTTCAAATCCTCAGTATTCTGGCTCACATGCATTTGTTAAGATGCTAGAATCAGTGCAATCATGGGCTGTCAATTTATAACCCTGAATAGCATTTAGCAACCAGTAAAAGTAACTAATGGCAGAAACTTCCCAAAGCACTATACAAGTCTTTGCCTCAATAACAAAAACACCTACTCAGCAGGCCACTTGGAGTCTTAAGATTGTAATTGTGGTGTGTGTGTGTGTGTGTATGTGCGCGCACGCACACACACACACATGTTCTCTCTCTCTCAGTATTAACTGCTGCCAGTCACTTCCATATTCCATATTATGCCTACTTGCAGTGACTGCAGTTATAAGATGAAAACTGATCTGTTTAACGTGGATGCTTATTTCATGCATCATTTTCATTCTCTCACACTGAGCCTGAGGGCAGTGATAACTGAAATGAATGAGAAAGCACCAAGTTTTTGCTAATGCTTCATATTGTTTTATGTATTTTGAAAACTTTCTTTTTTAAAAAAAATATTTATTATTTTCATTTTGTGTATATGCATGTATTGTCTGCATGTAGGTGAGTGCAACTGTGTCGTGCAATGCCTGCGGAAGTCAGAGAGGTGGTCGGATCCCCTGGAACTGGAGTTATGGACAGTTGTTAGCTGCCATATGCTGGGATTCGAACCCGAGTCTTCTGCAAGAACAACTAGTGTTCTTACACTGAGCCATCTCTCCAGCCCCGAAAACTTTCTTAAAGTTAATAAGGTCAGAGAAAAAGAAAACTGGCAAATGAAAGGGAGAGGAGCTAGAAAGAAAGAGAACTGTGGCTGGCCTTGGGATGTGTCCTAGTTTGTTTCTCCACTGCTGTGACAAAACACTCTGACCACTACCAATTTGGGGAGGAAAGGGTTTATTTGTCTTATATCTTCTGGGTCACGGTTCATCCAGGAGCCCAAGGTAGGAACTCAGAGCAGGAACCTGCAGGCAGGAGCTGGAGCACAGGCCATGGAGGAATACTGCTTACTGGCTTGCTCCCCTGGTCCCTGCTGAGCATGCTTTCTTATGTACCATAGGCCCACCTGCCCAGGGGTGGTACCAACCACAGTGGGCTGGGCCCTCCCACATCACTCATCAAGAAGATTCCCCACAGACATGGCCACAGGCCAGTCTAATAGAGGCAATTCCCCAATGAAGCTCCCTCAACCCAGGTATGTCAAGCTGACACTAAAGCTGTCCAGTACAGGATGGATGGCTCTCTTACTGGATTTTGAATACAATCAGCTGTCTGTGACAGGAAGCACTACTTTCTGCTCTACTACTCAGTAGATCTTGCTTCTTAAATAGTTCAGGTGAAGTTTATTCCACGTGTTCTAAATTTCCCCTTATTAAGTAATACTCAAATTAAGTAATACTCAATACAAAATACATCCTAGCTCAGAAGTACCAAATAAAAACACTGAATTTTAAGAAGCTTTGAACACAGAATGTTAGGTAAACCTGTATTGATAAATATGTACCAAGCACTGTGCTTGCTGCATGTTATCATTTAATCGTGACAACAATCTTGAAATATAGAAAACAAAACCTGAGGGCAGTTTAGCAGCATGTCCAAAGCCACACAGCTATTTTGCTCACTGGAGCTTCATACCACATGCAGGTGTCTGTGTCAATGAATATATGTAAGAATCATTGTTGTATTTGGTTAAGTAAAAACACAATGTGTTTATGAATACTGAACTAACAAAATTCAGTGGCAGATTGCTTTTGAACATTAGATAGTTAACACCAAGTATATCCCATAAAGAACTTACTACGCACAAACTTTTAAATGGACAAGTCTCCCTCAAGTCATTGAGTTACTGAAGTCACAGCCTCATTTTCTCCACTGTCTCTAGAAGGCTTTTTCCATTTGCTAAGGACTGCTGTTAGAGCTGCTGTTTTGATTTAATATGTAATTTCATCCATCTTACTTAGAGTAAGAAAGTAGCATAAATGCAACAAATAAGCACATCATGTTCTTTTAGCACACATCTGCACAAAGTTAAAACACAGACCCTTCAGTAGAGACCATGCTTATTTTTCAACTTAAAGCTATATAAGCTAATGCTGCTGATATTTTCAACAGAAACTTGCTACAAAGAAAAAGTCTTTGTAAAAGTTTCCCCCTCCCCCCCCACAAAGAATAAGAAATTCCCTAGATTCATAAGACTTTTGAAATGGCCGTTCACCATTCAGATTTATGTAATCGTTTCCAGCACAGAGATTTAGGAGCCAAGGGGTGCACTAGACCAGAGCAACATGATAGCCTACAGAGCTCGGAAGAGCTGTGATGATGCAACACAATCACTTTGAAAACAGCACACACTATTCACAACCCACCAAGAACCACACTACCAAGCAAAGTCCTCCTGCTTGTCTACCCACTCCATGCTTCTCATCAGCTTTCAAACTTACTTCGTTTCACCCATTAGTGTTAGATTTAAAGTAATCTCATCAGTAAATAAAAAAATTAAATGTGAGAGCACAGTCATTTTGGAAATGACCAGTTGTGGCCTGCCCTCCGTGTTCTCTTTCATTGCCAGAAAGACTGTGCCACTCTTCTTAAATCATTGCATTTCTTCTCCCTGTCCCTTTAAACTGGGGTTGCAGATTAAATGGCGGGACAATGACTAAAAGTCCATCAAGATACGCTACTCATGAGTGTGTAGTTTCAAATCTATCACTCTAAAGATGAAAGACAAAATTGAACTCAACATGGCAAAGGAAAACTGCTGTCCCCTTGCCACTGTCCACATGGGATGATGGTACGCTGGGCAGCCCAGGCTCAGTCTGGCTTGATGGAAAGAGCTGCCAACATCACCATATATACTGTGATCAAATTGCAGTGACAGCCACAGGAACTGCACTTTTATCAGCACTGAAAAATCTTTTCAAATTTCTCCTGGATAATCCAAGACACTCACCTGTACCAGAATTCTTAAAAACCTGTGCTGGTAACAAACCCCACAAGCAAGTGTAAATCCAGGTAGAGTGCACTTAATGGAGAGGCCCCAGAGATACCCACTCACTGCTTGACAGAAGCTAACAGAGAGCTAATGAAAATAGTATCTGAGTGGCTTTGCTTAGCATTTAATCAACCATGGAAAGAGCAAAGAGCTCTCCATAAGAACATATGGCTAACTGCATCTTAAAAACTAACATTAGAAATAAACATCCTGAAAAGTAACTGTTTCACGGAGGTTGAGGGCTTGTTCTGAAGGCTCTCAGGCTCTGACCTGGGAGCACAGTTTTGAATGTTTTGTACTATCTGGGCCAGGGTGGGCACCTTCAGTGCCATTGCTTGGCACCATTTGGAAGGTCATTGTAGCATCTCTTGCACTGACAAGTAGCAGAAAATCACAAAGTCCAGAGGAAGCTGCCATGGGTGAAGGGCACAGGCTTCTCCCCAAAGGTTTTAGAAGAAGCAGGCTGTGAGCTGCCTTTGACTTCTGAACCTGCGTTTAACTCACTAAATGTCCCTCCTTTTTGAGGGTCTTTTAGGCCCACTGGAAAGCTGATACTCATGCATGTAACTACATGGAAAACCTGTCTCCAGATAGCTGTTTTACTGGGGCTGGAGAGATGGCTCTTGCAGAAGATTTGGGTAGTATTTATCATTATCTATTCTAACATCCTCCTAAGTTTTATACTGTGTAACACATGAAAATGAAAATAAAGGTATCATGTACTGAAATGCTATCATTGCTATTCTGAAAATGTCTAGACACCTGGTTTAGGAATTGCCTCACAAGTAAATTTACAAGCACTATAAAGAAATTCACTTTCTCACTTTTTGAAAACAATCACCCTCCCACATACAAGAGAACTCAATTTGGGGGTGGGGGTGCCCCAGCATGTCCTGTTTGATTACCGTCTTTGTGGTGAGTCTGGGTGTTCTCAAATATACATGCCCTACCTCAAATGATAATGACTTGCTAAAATCAAAGCTCTTCAAAGAAGTGTGACAAAATGCTGAAACCAATTAAAAAATACTTTAGAAGAGCATTCTCTGCTTTACCCAAAGTCTTGAATGAGCTTGCAAACTCATTTTAAGTAAGGATAGGAGAGCTGGAGTAGCTTCATTTCTACCTTCTCCGAGAGGCAGGATTTAAAAATTTTTTAAAAAATTTTTTAGAGGAAGCATTTCTTTACAACTTTAACATACTCAATAACAATTTCCAGAGCAAAGATACATCTCTTTCAAAAGTAGCTATCAAATTTTTAGGTTCACAGTTGAATTAATACAGTTATACCATATTGAACTCATTGTAAACCCTGTAAGACATAAAATTGAATGATTTTTTAACCTTTAAAAAAGATCTCCATTTCATTTAAAAATATTCTGTTTCTTACAGAAAGACTCATTGTTTTTACTAATAACACTTAGATGTTGGCACATGCATCTCTAATCTGTATGTATCTGATTATTACTAGCCATCATCAGTTGCACACGGATCCTTGGCACTTGTGTATGGATATAGTCATTGGGTAGATTTCAATGGTAATGTTTATCACCTCTACTAATTAACATGACGTAAATTTTTATGCTTCCTCCTCAAATATAACTCATTTTTTAAATTTGTCGATTTTTGTGTGTGTGTATATCACACAGAACATCCCAATCAATCTTATTCATCTATATACCCACTTCCCAGATGGCACCCTCCCATAGCTCCCCCTCCCCACTAGAGACCTTATACTCTGTTATCCCTGCTACTGTCTGCTGTGTTGTCGGCACCCCCAGCCATTCCCCAGTACTTGTCCATCCGGTGAATCTAGTCAGCCTATCTAGAGGTCTTTGTTTTAGGAAGGTCAGCTGTTCCTCATCTAGCAGCAATCAGTTGTCAATATTCCTTTAGATAAGATTGGGGTCTGCCGTTCATTTTCCCAGTTTTATGCTGGGTTACTGTCTGGGAGTTTCTTGGGTCACCCTGGCCAGCAACTCAAAAGAAGGTATCTCCTATCTGGAATTATTGCTTGTTATGTAGCCTTTAGCTATGCATATGGACTCTTAAAAAATTATATTGGCCCCTTTAATCTTTGGTTAAACTTTCCTTTTGGGTGTTTAAGGCCATACAGTTGGCCCATATAAACCAATTTATTTATTTATTTATTTTAAACCAATTTATTTTTACTCTTAAGGTTGTTTGAGGATATGTTCCTCAGGGGTCACATGGGCTTGGGAGGAGCCCCTGGCTCCTTTCTTTTACCAGTTCTG